GGGATAAAAAGAGCTGCTAAAAGTATAAACAACTGTGTTAAATCATTTTCATTTATTCAGAAGCCACACTGTCACGCACCATAGCTCCCCCACTCATGAATTTTGTTCGTATCTGAAAAAAATCTTAGAATATGAAAACATTGGTGAATGTCACAAATTCTCCTAAATCACTCGTACGCACAACTTAAGAACAAATCTGTGTACGAACGGTTCTTGCATGAGGCCCATTGATCCTAGGTTGTATCAAACCAACACAAAAGGTGTGTTGTTACCTGTGTGCCTTCAGCTGGAGTGCGTGGTGCAGCTGGTGCAGATGGGCTGTGGGGTGAACACGGTGAGCAGCCGCTTCAAGCAGACGCCGGCGCACACGGCAGCGTTTGGAGGACACGCCCACTGCGTGGTGTGGCTGAGCCAGGCCGGCGCCGACATCAACAGGCAGGTCTGTGTGAGGGTCCGAGTCCTCGTCTGGAACASCAGCAGCTTCTCTCACAGCTGCAGAACCTCTGCAACGTCTGTTGTTTTAGACATTATTGTTTCAAAGTGTTCGGCTCATTTAAGAGATGATTTTTATAACTTTTTTAAAATAATGASCTTATTKTCCYCATAAAATACATTTAAATCTCATCAGTCCCTTCAAACACTTCCTGTCCTTCAGCTACTGCCTCTACTTTTGTCCCTGTAGGTTACTTTTAGCTTATAGCTAGCCTTTTGCTGTTTTTAGCTCTTAGCAGGTGATGTAGCTTGAGTGTAGCTTTAGCCATGTTGTGTCTTTCAGGCTGTATGTCCAGCAGTGACATGTCCTGTCCTCTGTCCTCCTGTCCTCCTGTCTGTCTGTCTGCAGGACTGTGTCGGGGAGACCCCCATCCACAAGGCGGCCCGCTCCGGCAGCCTGGAGTGTATCCAGGTGCTGCTGATAGCCGGGGCAGAACCACAGTGAGTGTCCTGATGGACCGGTGCAGACCACCTCCAGCTTGTGACCTCTGAGTGGTCGTAATCTTCTGGCTGGTTGCAGGTTTCTCTTTAAAAGTGACGCAGTGAGAGTGAGAGAGTGACACTCTGTAGTGTGTGAGTGTGAGCAGACACACCTTTAAAGGGATCCACGATTAGTTGTAACATTAGACTTTATTTAATAAACATATATTTTAACTGTAAAATAAAGACTGTAAAAATACTGTAGGATGTTCAGTTTTTATAATTTTTAAAAATATAGTTTAACACGGACGGAGCCATTTTATTTGCACACAAAGCATTGTGGGTAAATGATGACGTGGATAGTCCTCGGTGCGAGGCTGCTAGCGAGCTATATCCACCCTGAAGGTTAATCTTGGACAATATCTGATGATCGACTCTTTTAAATGAAACCAGAGAGCGTTGACAGAGAGGAGAAGGTAGAAATGACTCAGCCTGGAACTGAAAATATGGATGGAGGACAACAGAGCTGCTTCATGGAAGAACAACCTCAGATTAGCCTGTTAGCTTTCACGCTAGTGCTGATGCTATATTGTCTTATGGTGCGTTCTCACCAAACGTGATTTCAGCATCAGGAGCAGCAGGTTTACATACAAAGTCTATGGTGGACGCGCTTCAAGCAGCGTCAGGAAGTGCTGCGGCGCCTCAAGCGCGATTAGAGCAGCGTGATTTGAACGATTTAAACGATCTGAACGTTCGACGCGCTGAGGCACAAATCGCTGAAGTTAGAAAATCTGAACTTTTGCAGCTCGACGTGTCGCGTCAACCAATCAGAGAGACTCCACTGTGTGACGTAGTGACATATTTCCCAACGGGACAGTTTACTGAATGATGTCCACTAACCTGAAACAGATGGAGAGGAGCTCTTTAGCTGAAATGAGTGCCTGCAGTCGGTGTCCTGACAGAGATATCCTCACCAATGCGTGGCAGCGACTCATCAGACTGGACTCGGGACAAAAATAGTCCTGAAAGCGAGCTGTGAGCCTCTCCTCTGAATTATCTGGTGAATTAATTATGAATTAATTATCTGATGAACGTGACATGCTCTTGCTCTCTGTAAATAAAGCAAAGCCACTTCCTGGTCCGACATTAAACAGAGCCCCACAGAGGAGGGAGGGGCGGGGAGGCTCTGCCGTGCAGCGCTTCAAGAGCTGTCCTGCGTCTGACCTCAAAGTGCACAAGCTTCAAACTTCAGCGTTGGCTGAGATTTTGAAGCTGAAATCACGTTTGGTGTGAACGCAGCATTACATGTATTAGCTCGGCGCTAGCTTGACAAACAAGCTAAACTGAGGTCCTCCATCCATATTTTCAGTTACAGCTGAGTCATTTTTGTGTTCCTCTCTGTCATGTGGATGGAGGACCTCAGTGACGAGAGAATGTGTAGCGCTGAGCTAATACATATATATGGTGATAGCATCAGGGCTAACACTAAAGCTAACAGGCTAATCTGAGGTTGTTCTTCCATGAAGCAGCTCTGTTGTCCTCCATCCATATTTTCAGTTCCAGGCTGAGTCATTTCTACCTTCTCCTCTCTGTCAACGCTCTCTGGTTTCATTTAAAAGAGTCGATCATCAGATATTGTCCAAGATTAACCTTCAGGGTGGATATAGCCCGCTAGCAGCAAACTTAAACTTTTGGTTCAAAAATGATAAAAACTAAACATCCTACAGTATTTTTACAGTCTTTATTTAACAGTTAAAGTATATGTTTATCATATAAAGTCTAATGTTACAACTAATCATGGATCCATTTAAACTAAACATCCTACAGTATTTTTACAGTCTTTATTTAACAGTTAAAGTATATGTTTATCATATAAAGTCTAATGTTACAACTAATCATGGATCCATTTAAACTGTTCTTTAACTTTATTTAGCTTTAGCATTTGTTTGACATATTTTAGCATCTGATTTGCTAACTTTAGCTCTTTCATGTGGCTTGCTAACTTTCACATTTGCCACAACTAATCATGGATCCCTTTCTGGCTGGTTTATACTTCATTCACTCGTCTCGTTCCCTCTGCTGAGTGAAGGAAAACTGCACCGTATTTTCTGGACTAAGTCACACTTTTTTCCACAGTTAGGCTGGTCCTGTGACTCATACTCTGGAGCATCTGTGTGTTTTTTTCCTCCCTTCGTGATGTTTTGACTGATTCACACTGACATGAGCCAAGCAGTAATCATTACAGCCTGCAGCCAGGAGATGGCGCTGTAGGCTTGTGATTACTGCAGCAGAGGGCATCTTACTGCACTGAAGAACATGAAGACAGCTAATCGGGTGAAGTTACAGCGAGCTGCTCGTTGGAAGGCAGATTGTGTTTGAACAGACAGCTGTCTCGATGTAGACGCCAACAGGGATCAAAATTTCAAACGTGCAATCTTACGTATTTGTCACTCTCATTAAAAAGGTTTTGTCCTACCAACTTTTGTGAGCTGTCAGTGCTGACCAACTGACAGGCTTCTTCCATAGGATAGGAAGACCACCACCAGTCCCAGTAAAAGAGCCGTCTGATGGACAGAGTTCATTTAGATGAATAAAATCCATATCTTGTTGCCAGGTCTCAGTAACACAAAAGATAAATTATTCTGTAAAAACAAGTGGTGTAGGACATGAGCTTTGTTTGCCACTGAGCGTGTGTTGACCAGGTACGTTCTACATGAATAATCTGGAGCWGATGATGCAGTGATGAAGGAAGTGTTTGTCAGATCACACGCTGCTCACAGCGCCCAGGACCACATCGAAGATAAGGGCATGGCCTCGACAGGTCCAGCAGTGGGAAACACCACTGTCAGGTAGGAAGCTGTGCCGCAGCTGAAGAAATGACGCCCTGCACCCGTCGCAGCAGCCGCTCCACCAAGAAGTCCTCRCATCTCCCATGGGATCCCACAAGGCTGATGCCCAAGTCTCACCTGGACACTCTCTTCCCTCTGCACTTCTTCCAGATCCATCTTAAATTTTTTGTCCAAACACCTGTTGGCGACACACCAACAGGAGGTGGGCAGAACTCCAGACTGGGAAATGAGAAGTTCCCAGTAGCAGACAAACTTTCCACACTGATCTGGAACATTTGCCACAGCAACCGAGGCATCGTGATCACCGATGAGCAGTACACAGAGAAGAATACACAACTGAGACAGGGAAACTCAGACAAACAAAAACAGTCAGTGGCAAAGCTAAACGCAGGCGCCATCTTGTCCCCAGTCAACCAAGTTTTATTATTCTAATTATTATAGTATTCTGTCTCTGTCTTTCTCCTACATGTCTCATTGTCC